ATATTTTAAAATGGAGACTTTTGCTCTATTTTTACTATTATCAGCAATGAGATAATAGTATGAGACCTTTAACAAGAAAAAAAATATAGTTCAAATAGAATTGGAAACATTGTCGATGTCCTGCATTATTGTTGTTGTTAAGTGCTGTTAAGTCGTAGATAACTCATAGCAACCACATGAACAAAAGACCGCAACAGTTGTATAACTTTCATAGTTTTTCCACGTTCATAGGGTTTCCAGAGACAAGCTATTTCTGACGTGCCACTCCTGCTTCCAAACTTGTCTTTTGTGAGCTCCACCAAACACTGTCCACCATGGGTAACCATTATCACTTTTGACACATGAGTGTCACAGTGTTCAGCATCACAGCAACCATGAGTTACCTCTGTACAGAAAATGGACAGACCAGGGCTGTACCACTTAGAAGACCGTTTGACCAAACCAATTATTTTTAACATTGTCAATGTTCTGCATTAGTAGTAGAAAGGGGGGGAGGGTAGTAAGTTGCCAGCATAGAGTCAAATTCAAACAAAGAGGTAAATATAAGAATGGTAATATAATTTGAAGTAGATTGTTAGAGGAACTCGATGAAAACCAATAGTCAACTCTTACAGATTTGACTGTAAATCAGTGGACTACATTAATTTTAATCACATGTTATCTAATGCAAATATTAAGCCAAGTGAAAAGAGAAGCAACATTAATAAAAATCATGTCATATTTTTGTACTATGAATTATAGTTAGTACCTTGAGCAACTTTAAGAAAATTTTCTCATAGAAAAGAAAATATGATTAGTATAGTATTTTAATGGGTGAGAATAATAATTTATGTTCATAACAAAAAGTGGGGTATTTCTGACATGTAAAGAATAGAAAATAATTGTCTTACGTGAATGTTGAGAGGGGGAAAAGAGAGAGAGAGAGACAGAGAGAGAAAGAGAGAGAGAGAGAGAGAGAGAGAGAGATTTAAGCCAGGGATAGTTAATACCTGAGACATACTGAAAAATAATAAATCATTCCAGAGCAAGTCAATGGTTAAAGATGTTGTCAATAGGTAAATTAGGAAACATCCTATATAAAATAAATTTAAGCATGTTTTGTGGAAGTATATAGTGTAGAAATTTGGACAAAAACAAAACAAAACACCAAACCCTATAAAAACAGGGAAATGGGACACATCTTCAAGTACCTAGGATTCCATGATGATATGGCTTCAGTTTTCCTCATTAAGATATTCATTGTATCTGTGGAATTTTCCAAGGGAAAGGACACAATGCTTAATTATCTCTGATGATTTTTTTTCTACATAATAACAAGAAACAATAAATCAATTCATATTGGTAGAACTTAAAAGCAATTACATATTGTAAATACTATATAAGTGTTCCATAAACAAATAAGCAAGTTCTGAAGAATATAAATATACATATGTCTTCAGAATTTAGTTGAATAGTTCTTGCTGGAAACTATTCATAGTATCATGGGAAGACCATTCAAAATACAAATAGATGTTCCTCGCAAGTTTCTGACTTTTCTCTTTGACAGACTGCTGATTCCTTACCAATATTACCAATATTTGTCTTTCTTCCCCCACCCCTTATAAGAGTTGTTCAATTTTAATTCATGTGTAACTACAAGCAAAAGGCTCCATTTACTTCTCTCTCCTTTATAGCTGTGAATGGCCAATGAAAAATACTTCAAAGTTATTAGAAGAGCTTCTAGTAAAGCTCTTTAAGACTTGTGGTATATTTTTTGCCATTCCTCCCCTTTTTAACATAATTCTGTGTGGAAGAAAACATGATACTTGGAAACCTAGCAGCTATTTTGTTAAGACAACCTGAAGTTCAGAACAGAAGATGCAATAGGATGAATAGTATAAAAAAGTTCAGAAACCCTGATGACCTTATCAGACAAATACAATACTTACCTCTAGACTTTTTATACACAATGTGACAGAAATTTTTTTTCTATAATTATATTTTATTAATTTTCATAAACATTTACAGAGATTTTGGGTTTCCATTCATTCATTGTTGCACTATTCTCTCCACCCTCCTCCCAGTTTGTTCTTGTCCAAATGCCACAGTGCTTGTCAAAGCCAGTTCTGATTAATCTTCTTTGTCAGTGTGTCCTTTGCCATTCCCTATCACTCCTCCCTGAGAGAGACTTCACCCTGAGTCATAAGGAAAAGGGAATGGCGTATTCTCTTAGCTACTTCCTGCTGAAAAGGGACGCTGTGGGTTTCAGGGTGAAGATCTTCTCTCACTACTCTAAAGGGCCCCTTTGGCAGTAGGAAACACATAGACTATTATGGAGATTGATTTTGGAATTTAGATGCACTCTTATTGATTGTGCTTGGCCGTACATGTTCATATCCTTGAAGATGTATCATGGGGGTGTTGCAACCTAGAAGACACAACTTTGATTAACAAGTTATAAGTACATGAGTCCAAAACTTATGGAAAAGTAAAAGAAAAGATTCTTTCATTGTTTTACAAACCCTCCCCCAGGTCCCCTCCACCATGTAGCCCTCGCTCTAGACTCCTGTGATGACAGAAATACCTAGTTATATATCTCTTTTAAACAGTTCTCTCCCTCCTCTGTTTCAGTGCAGTATACATTATTGAACCCATCTTACTCAGTCTCTCCCCAACCCCAAGGACAGTCCCATTCTACAACAGTGGCATCATGTAATATTTGTCCTTTTGTGACTGGGATATTTCACTCAGCATAATGTTCTCCAGAGTCAACCATTTTGAATAATATTGCATGAGTTCCTTGTTTTGTTTTTTTTTTTTGTTTTTGTTTTTGTTTTTTAAATTTAGGTTATTTTTCATTTCAATGAACATCTACAGAGATTTTGGGATTCCATTCATTCATTGTTGCACCCTTCTCCCCGCACAAACCCCTCGCCCCCCATTTGCTCCTCTCCTTGAAATGCAAAAGAAAAACTCCCTCATTGGTACACAATCCCCCCCCGCACCTCCCCAAACCCCACCCTCTAGCCCCAAATATAATCCACTCTACAACCCTCATTGCATACTCCTACGATAAAAATAATGCCCTAAAATATAATACTTTTAGACTATTCTCTCCCCCATAGACTTAAATGCCGTAAACATATTTCATCCAGTTTTTCTCAGTCTTACCCCCACCCCAATGCCAGCCTCATTCTACAACAGTGGCACCATATAGCATTTGTCCCTTTGTGACTGAGATACCTCACTCAGCATAATGTCCTCCAGGTTCACCCATTTTGAATAATATTGCATGAGTTCCTTGTTTTTCAATGCAGCATAGTATTCCATTGTGCAAATATACCACAGCTTCTCTAGCCATTCGTTTGTCGATGGGCAGCTTTGGCTTTTTTTATTCCCAAATACTTACATGTATTTTCATTTAAATGCAAAAAGCAGAGAAAGCATTCTATTCCTATTGTGAATCACTATTTGAAGTCAATTAAAGACATGTAATACTGTAGAATTTAAGGATGAAACATTAGTACTCACCAACATTTAAGATATAGACCAACAAAAAGGCAAATGAAATATTAAAGAATATTAACAGAGGGAGAATAGTATGAAGGAAGAAGAAAATTACAAGCATCGAAAAATGTTCCACACAGATACAATAGGATATGGATCAAACAAAACTGTTTTTTATTGGTAGAATAATTTTAAGAAATGTTTAAATACATTTTTAAGAAATGTTTTAGTGGATTTAATAGTGAATAAACTCAAAAACCCTCAAACTAGCTAGCATTGAGTTGAGTGCAGCTGAAAGCAAAACTGCTCACTTTTTGTTTAGCAGTTCAATATTTTATTCACCTTGCCACCAGGACTCATTTGAATAGTGACTAGAAAGTGACAATTATAGAAATAATTACTTTATATTTTTTTTCTTCTTCATTTACTTTTATTTCTCTAGCCTGCTTTTTTAAAAAATGTTATTATCATTATTAATTTTAATAGACATTTACAGAGGTTTTGGATTTCCATTTATTCATTGCCCACTTTTCTCCCTGCCCACCCCTCCCCACCAGCTCGCTTCCCCCTCCGAAGAGAAAAAAAAATCCTTCATTAGTATACAATTCCCACGTCCCCTCCCCCCCACCCCCACCCTAGTACACTTCTCTATGCAACCTTAATTCTGGATTCCTGTGCTAACCATAATACTCAATCATATATCACTTCTACTCTTATATTTTTTAAAAAGTATTAAGTTAGTATACTATCACCATGTAAGAAATACTACTATAATTTGAGACTACATATAAAGGGTTAATGACACATTTGGTTTGGTCTTAAATCAGATTTGGAACTCTATAAATTCAAACTTTGAAATCCTCATAATTTTCTCATATCTTGAATTAAAGAGATTCACTGTGAAGAGAAAGGTAGAGAACAGTATTTCTATACCATTTCCAACCAGCTACAAACATCACAGGGTGTATCTTAGAGTGCTTCCATTCTCCAGAAACTTTACCTTCCAGATTTAACTTGCTCTTCCCATGAACATTTGATCCACTTTTAGGACTTCTAATAATTCTGTTCCCATTTCTCATTCCCTTTCTTGCTTTATACCCTCTTTAATTGTTCTGTGAAAGAATTTTGTCCCTCTTTGTCTTACTACCAGTTTTTATTCAGGCTTTCTGCTCACCTCCATCTTATTACTCTGTTTATTCTGTATTATTCTTCTTCTAGTTATTTTTGTCAGGACACTCTCTATATAAGTCACCTTTCCCCTCAATCTGCCTTAATACATTTTCAAACAATATAATTAAATGTTAATACAAAATTGATTTAACAAAATCATACTAAATAGAGTTCTTTTTTAAAAAAATCTTCTTTTAAACTTATCTACTCCACAGGTTTTAAATGTTGTTTTTAAAAGAAAAACTAATCACGATAGAGCATAATACTTTTGAAAAGTCTTTTAAGAACTCTTAAAGATATATTAAATAGTAACATTGACATTGTTTGTTTTTTTTTCCCCACAGGATCTATATTGTCCAGTTAATTTTAAAAGTTTTAAAGAACACAGAAAATATATTTCCTCTGTTTTAAATGAATTTAATACAAAAGATATTGACATAAAGGAAGATAAACCCAGACATCTAATTAAAAAAGGTTGGTTAGATTCATTTAAAAATTATATTTAATAAAAATCTATACATTTTAAATTTTATTAATTTTAATGAACATTTACACAGATTTTGAATTTCCGTTCATTGTTAACTTTTCTCCCTGGCCAGCCCTCCCCCCCCAATAAAAATATTCTTAAGGGTAATAAAGATAACAGAAACTGTATGACTATGTCAGCATAGTCATGAAGTCTGTCAACTAACATATAAAAGCAATCTTACGATGAAATAACATTTATTTCAGTATTTGAACATAATTATTTTATATTCTAAAGTGATATTTTTCTTATTAGTAAAATTTTGATTGTGAATTATGCACTACTTTGCATTTTACATTTTTTCTGATAAAATTTTATAATTACATATTAAAATTTCTAACTTTCAAAAAAGTTATATAGTCATTTTTGTACATTTGTTATATCAAGGTTTTATCTGTTTTTCAAGTACTTTGCTTAATTCTAAATGTTTAGATTTCCTTCCTGCTCTCCACATTTTTTGTCCTTACTGATATTTACCTTTTTTACATAGAAAGTGAACTAACTACAAGAAATTCTCATTTGTCAGCAGTTTTAAAATATTATTAGTTTTCCATCATTTTCACATCATAAAATTCTGTACCTTTTAAGTACTGCACTTTTCTTTTTAATCCAACTAGTCTTAGACTTAAACAAAAATCAAATTAAAGGAAAAATAATAATTCATGGTTATGCCTACCCACTTACTCTTACCCAGTCATTTTTTTTCAATAATTTAAACTAATTTCTCCATTATTTATTATAATGTTTTCGCATGACTGGCTTGTTCTGTCAAAATAACTTTAAAGATTGAAGATATTATGAATGACTTTCTGTTGTGAGAGATAGAGATGTAATTTTCTTATAAACAATACCAATTCACATACGTATGCTTTATAAGTCTTCCATGAGAATTATTTTAGTGTTTGCTGCTTAAATAATATTTAATGTTTTAATAGTTATTACTATGTAAATATTGCTCACAGTTTAGTTAACTTCCATAGCAGAAATTTG